AAGTGGGTAGGGTTGGGGTTGGGTAGGCTGTTTGGCCGTAGGGGTGGGGTGAGCGGGTAGGGGTAGGGTTGTAGGTGTAGTAGGCATGGGCAGGTGGGTGGGTAGGGTTGGGTGGGCGCGGGCCGAGAAGACCCGACCCGGGGTTTAGTTGTGGTGAGTTCCAAGGTATGTAGCCGTCATGCGGGTGTCGTTGCGAGCCAGAGTTTCTTTCTCGTCCACGTCCCCGGCCACCTCCACCACGACCGGATCTGCGCCCCTGCTGTCCGAGGCCGCCACTGCCGCTGCCAGGCCCTCCACTGCCACGCCCGAAGCCGCCACTACTGGTGCCGTAGGGTGGGCCGCCGGTTCGGCCGGCCAGGAAGACCGTCCTGGCGTCGTCCGCGATGCTCTGCCGTTGCTGACCTAGGAGCAGGAGGGCGGATCGGGTCTGAAGGAAGTTGGGCAGCGGTTGTTGGAATTGTAAGAACGATGTCTGAGCCTGGAGATCTTCGGGTAGCCCCCGAAGCATTTGAAGCACGAGTTGAGACTCAGAGACCGGGGCGTCAATGTCATCCAACCAATCGGCAATGTTCCACAGGGTTTGACAGTATGTGGCCATGGTCATCGTACCCTTGACAGTGGTTCGGAACTGGTGCTGGAGTTGCATCGTCCGAGCATGTTTGTTGTCATGAAAAGTGCATGAATAACCCGCCATAATTCAGCTGCAGTGGAGGTGGTGGAGATGACCAGATCTGAGACTTCGTCAGAAATAGTGGAGAGAATCCACCCTTGGAGCAGGGCGTCAAGCTGGTACCATTCATCATCATCGGTAGAGGAGGGAGATGAAGAACCCGAGAGAAATCCGTGGAGTGTAAACCGGCGCACCAGGAGGAGAAAAGGCCGGCTCCACTTTTTGTAATTGGGCTGAGAGAAGCTCAGCTGGATCGGGACATGAAGCTTGACGTTGGAGATTGTGGTGAAAGCCAGATGAGGGGGATTGGAGGAGGAGGAGGAGGAGGTTGAATTGTCTGTATTTTTGTCGGAGGAATCCATGTCGAGGGAGGAAGGGGGAATCACCGACGTGGGGGTTGTGTGGTCGCCGAGGGCAGTCCGCCGAGAAAGAAAGACGGCGGCGGCTGTGCGGCTGGAGGAGGAGACCACGCCGAGAGAGAGAGGGAGAGAAGTAGGGTTAGGGTTTTGAAAATTATAGCTCTGATACCATGAAGAATTGTGATTTTCCTTAAACAATAATGTGGGTGTACATGTGTTTATATACACAAGCTATTCCTAATCCTAATTATGGTAGGATTCTACAATAGGAAACAATATGTGTACAATAAATATAGAATATATATTTAACATAAATATAATATACATTTAACAAGATCTCATAAAATGATGACCAATAATATATAGTTTGTTAAGTTTAGACTTTTGTGTAAAGCGTGGTGAGTAAAGTAGATGTTACAGTTCAATAAATATATATACTCCGTATCAAGATTTTTATAATATAATAATTAAAAAACGGTTTCCTAACTCTACCCTGTGTATGATGCACGAACCAACTAGGGGTGGACACGGTACGGTTCTAGTTCCGGTACCGCCACCCCTTGGTACCGGTACCGTGACCGGACTGGCCGGTACCGGACCAGCCACCCCCAAATTAATTTTTTTTTGCTTTTTTATTAAATTTTGTGAAAAAAATAGCCTTATCCCAGCGACCCAGCCTGAATTCCTCTTCTGTATCTCCGGCTCATCACTCCTCAATTGGTTCTCCAACACGACCCGACCCTCCGCCGATAGTAAAATCTGAATTCCCAAAGCAAAAAATTATCGAGATCCATAGACAATGCCGCCGTAAGGATTCGTGGAGTGCTGGAGGTGCTAGACTGTTCTTCGGCTTCATCCAGCAAATATAACCAAAGTCCTAAAGTATTTTCAATGATACACCCTCCCCTCCTTCTCCTGCCTTTGCTTTCTAGCCCGAGTTTTAGTGTTGTCCTCAAGAACATGAGAGTCTGTAGGGATTGCCATTCTTTGATAAAAGTATGTCATTAGTATCAGCCAAAGAGAGATTTAAAGAGATTCCATGTGTTTAAAAGATTGTGTTTGGTTGTGCTAGGATTACAATGCCAGCTTCTATGACATTGAATGGTTTGGGTGTGTCATTTCTTAATAAAAGTTATTTGCTGGAAGAAGTGATTCTGTCATTGATAAAAGTTTTTCTCATGTGTTTAAAGGTTACTTGTTTACTCTCCTTTTCAAAAAATATTCATCAAATACTGTTCCCCAATTTTATCCAAAAAAGTAATGTCATTACTCCAATCACAAACCATATTACAAGATTCTGTCTAAAAAGTACTGATAATGCACTTACAACCCATATTACTAATAATAGGAAAAAAACGGATACTGCACTTACAACCCATAGTGCAATTACTACAACAACACACTAAAAGTAAACATAAAAGTTTTTTTAAACTTGGTCACATTTTCAATGCTAATGCCCACCCTCTTGTTCAGCCCACCTGTTTGCATATAACAGCACCTCTGTTGCAATTTTTTTCCTGAAAGTCTCAATGCCTGCAACATCCACTTCATCCACTTCAACTCCCATGATGAGATGCTCAGCCATCTTTACAACAAATACGCCACAGCTCACCCTGCTCATTATTACGTACATTGGACATTATGGTGCTTTAAGTATATTACATGTTATTAGGTACCTAGAAAGGACATTTATAACATCTACGAACTTACGCGTCCGGTTGTTGTGGGCAACCATTTACGTTCACAATGCCTAGCACATCATCTCCCATCTCAGGCATTTTTCGCTCCTTGTACACTTCCTGTTTGTCCATCACCGTTGGCAGTAAGATCTGTATACATGGAAGGTATGGTTTTGTGTGGCGACTGGTCTTCCCCTTGTGGTTAGAATCATACAGTCTGATGCATTTCCTTGATATGTCAAGCACAACCAGTATCCAATGGTTTCCAGTGTTGATTGGCATGTAAACGTAATTGCACTCTGCCCAGCGTCCTCCCAATTCTGGCACAGCCCCTAGGATTGGTTTCAGTATTGAAGTGTTCAATGCTGCTTCAGCAATGGTTTTCCTTTTTCCCAAGTGGTTGTCATATTCTTTCTTCAACAAACTGACAAATAGGCTGTCTGTTACTGCAAATGGTTGGGTCAAGCCATATTCTTATGCTTTCATGGCCAGGTATTTCAAGGCCACAGTTACATGCTGTAGTAGATAAAGCATTGTAAGTCATTAGTATATTTAAAAATCCATAACCATATTTTTATAATCGTTTAATAAAATGCGTATGTTCATACTTACCACATCATCCATCCATTCATGAGGGTTGAAGAATCCATAGTACCATGTTTTTGACATTGTTTTGTCATGCCCCCACAATGGCCGAAATTCTTCTGGGTATAAAGCATTTTCCAAGCTTGTGTACTTTGTGCCATTTGCTTTTTTCTTCTTGCTTAGGAGACCTTGTGCTAAAAACAACTCCACATTCTCAACAGCTAATGCTAATTTCGACCCTTTGGGATAAGTTTCTGCCATGCCAGATTCGGCCTCCACATTGTTGGGTTGCGAATTGTCATCACCACCATCTGTGGCTTTCTGTTTAGATGTCTGTGGTCCTTTTCTGCTCTTTGCCTTCCTTGTGTTTAATTTTTTGTCAGAATGAGTAAACTTATCTGGGCATTTCACAACCCTCTTCTGCCTTGTAGTGTCTTTTGGTTGGTCAATGGCAATATCCTTAGTGCCTTTTTCTTTAGCATCTATACCATCAGGGTCTTGTGCTTGTCCATCATGAATGTCCTCAAGTTGACCAATATTGATCTGTGGTTTAGCATCTATACCATCATTGGGATCATCATTGAGGACTTGTTGTGGTTCAGTGGGAATATCATTGAGGATTTGTGGTGGTTTAGTGGGAATATCAGTGAGGACTTGGCGTGGTTCAATGGGAACAACATTGAGCATTTGTGGTGGTTCATTGGGAATATCATTGACGATTTGTGGTGGTTCAGTGGGAATATCAGTGAGGAGTTGTGGTTGTTAAGTGGGAACATCATTTAGGAGATGTGGTTGTTCAGTGGGAACATCATTTTCTGGTTCAGTGGGAATCAAATAACTGATGATACCCTCTGCGACCTTTGGTTGTTCAGAGTAAGGACTAATGTCCCAAATTGCTGGATCCAAATCCTCTACTGCTTGTACAAATCAAATGTAATGCAACAATGAGTCATTGGAAATAAACAAAATGACACTCTACCAACTGAAAAATGTACCATATCCACTAGACTAAATATACCCGAGTAACTTGTGATGCTGTTTCCACATTGTCAATGACACTCTCCATTTTCTCGCCTTCCTCCAAACCATCTTCCATCTCCTATAGCATGATTTATCTCTTAGTATGTAATTTCAACTCTAATTGCAACCATTTTATTAAACATAATCATGTAGCTTTGCATTATATGTTTTAGTACATACCTGCTGGTCAATGACTTTATGGTCAATGACTTTCTGGTCAATGACTTTATGTAATGTTCCAAAATCAGCTTCAACCACGTGCATAGTTTTATGTGTCATCAAGATGAACAATTTGGTGGTCCCAAAGTGGTGAGATACAAAGTCTAGAGGGGGGGGGGGGGGGGTGAATAGACTTTGTTACAATTTTTTTAAAAAAAATTTCGTTTATTTAGAAAACGTGAAAATAGTGTAAATCTAGAGTTCTTGGGAACTTTAGATTGTGTGCGGAATTTGGTGGGTAGTATGAGCAGTAATCAATATGGATGGGTTAGTTTTCACAGTTAATATAATTGCAAGTAAGAGTAAAGATAAAAGAGAGAGACACGCAAACTTTAACGAGGTTCGAAGGTGGGGTAGTCCTTCTACGTCCTCAAAATCCACTATGTAGTTGGTTGTTGAATAATGAACCAACAATTACACTTGTGTGAATTTCTGCACGGTATATCTTCGCAAGGCCAAAGTTGCTACTGCACTCGTGCTGGCTTTGTTGTTCCTTCGAAGGTCACGCTTCTTCAAAAACTGCATGATCCGAACAATAGGACCTGCAAGATCAACTTGTGAGAAAGTTGATCTACCCCCTTTTAATCAAGAAGTTCGATCAAAAGTTATATCCTTCAGCGTGGTGTGGTACTTGAGGCAAGGAAACCTTCAAGTGTTTACACTATAGCTCTTTGGAAGGAGGAGAAGTTTGCTTCTGGATAAGGAGTTTTAGAAATCTCTCTTTATCAAGCTTTTTGGGCTAACTGTGAATGAGATAGCTTTGTTGTTAGAGATTGCTTCGTTGTGTTTGTCTATCTCGTTATATATTCTCCAGTCTTCCAAGGTTGCTATTAATAGCTCGATTGGATGATCTATCCGTTGAATCAAATAAACTATCCCTTGCATTTGCTAGCTTCAATTTTGAATGAAGATTGTGATTGAGGATTCCTCATTGGAGTGGATGTTTGGACATACCCAATTGTTTGAGGAGGGATTCCTTTTTCCACAAAATCCGTCTTCTAGCTGTTGTTCAAGAATTCTGGACTGTAGCTCTTTACTCAATTTGTCTTCTAGTGCTTGTTTAGGAATTCTGGACGAGCTCTTTAATTTGAGGGGTCCAGACTTTGTCTTCAAGTCATTTGTTCTTGAATCAGCTTAATTATCTTCAATCTAGCTGTTGAAAATCAAGAGATTGATTTTTTCTTACCAACGGGTAGAATTTCATCATTCAAGACTTAGAATTTTTCTATGTCTTTTCTCACTTGTCCGCTTCTGAGAGTTCCGGTCTTTTCTTGAGGCATCCGGTTCTTTCGCTGACAAATCCAGAAGAGTCATTCACAGACTTCCGGGTGAGAAAGAGATCCGCGCTAGTCTTCCGATTTGAATGACTTAGCCTTCAGCGGGTTGTAGCGAGACATCCGGTTAAAATGTAGTGTTCCGGATTAGAGAATTTCATCTGCTTCGAGAAATCCTTACTTGTCTCTGACATTTCCGATCAATATATCCAATTTCCATACCACAGAATTTGATTAAGTCTTCAAGCATCAAACCACTTAAAGAAATATCACAACTTTATTGGAGATCTCAAGAACTCGGTTTTAACAATATTTCTAAAAAAAAAATTACATTGAATATTGGGGGAGGCCTAAAGTCCCTATTACAATCTAAATACATCATCATCAAAATCTATAATAGTTTCCCAACAATTTCCCCTTTTTGATGATGACAAACAAGTGTTTAAGAGTTCCGGTCGCTGTACTGAGAACTAATTTTATAACTTTCTTTTAGTTTCTCATAATATACAGCTTGTTAACCAAAACTCTTAAACAAATACAATTCAGATTACAATAATTCCTAAACCAAGTCTTGACTTGAGATTTGTGATATTTTCTGCCATTTTCCGCTTTCACTTCCAGCAGATTTTGCTTGGTAGTACAGATGGCGGTGCGTTTGATAGATCTTTAATATCCAAAGTGGATATTTGAGATCTTGGAACCAACATCTCTCCAAAAAGCAAAAACAAGAACAAAAAGAAAGTGGAGGGAAAGGAGGTGGCGGTGGAAGAAAAGAAAAAGGCAGAACGACAAGAAAAAAAGTTTTGGAAAAAAGAATTGATTGTAAAAAATAAAATAAGGTTTAAAAAAAATTGAGAAAGTAAATTAAAGAAAATGCTTGGGTAAAGGGTGTAGAGACTGCACAAATAAAAGAAAGAGAGAAAATTTTTAAAAAGAATTAGAAGAAACAAAGATGGAGAGAGTGTTGTTTCCAGAAAAGGTGTATGGTGTAATCCTGAAAAATACGAGATTTTCACCACAGACCTTCTCTACTGCCGAGATTCTCACCATAGACCTTGAAAGTCTTTTCTTCTCATTAGGCTTTCTCCATTGCCGTCTATGAGGGTGAGAAAGAAAAATTTCTCCATTGAGGATATTCTTCTTGGTGTTTTTCTCATATAGTGAGTTTGAAGACTTTTCATATTGAAAGAGTTGTTTGTGATAGGAATGGATTTGGATGTCTTGATTTAAATAGGAGAGAGATATAGAGAGGGGAGGTTCACAGGTTCCATTAAGTGGGTAGTTGGAACGGTGAGAGTAAAAGAGTTTCAACTTCCAAGAAGTTGAAAAGTGGAAGGAATCTTTTACCAGTTACCAATGTGTTGAAACTGTTCAAATCAGTTTTGTTTGGTTTAAAAAACGTAACTGTTTTAGTTTGGCTAAGCCCAAAAGAGTGGCCCAAAAAAAATAATCTATGCACTAAAGGGAAATTATTCTTATTGGGTTCTCAAGGCCCAAAATAAAACTATCATTTTTCATTCCCTATAGTTCTAATTTCTAATTAGGACGAGGTAGTACCAAAAAAATTGTAATTCATTTTTAAAAGAAAAAGTGGTACTATTTTTCCAAAGTCCTGTACATTATAAAAATCCTAAGGACCAGTACTTAAGAGCAAAGTTGGAAAAGAACTAAGGATTAAAGCTCAGTTTGAGAAAGCAGATTTTGTAAAGTACCTGAATCAGAGATCTCCAACTTTAGTACATAAACTGAGGTATCCGGCTTCCATTGCTTAAAGTTTATCAATAGTTCATTGCCAAAAACAATTGAAGCAATTGTTAGCCAAAAACAGTTAAGTTCCCCCTGAATTATATTCCCTCTGAATGTATGCGCTTAAGGATAAATCTCAAGAATCACACTTAGAATGAATATGATCAAGCAAAATAAGCGATTTAAGAGAACTATTAAGCAATGTTTAAACCAAAACTCTTGTTTAAACAAAAAGGTGTTTTCATCAAAACCAAATAATGTTTTCACATACTTCCCCCTGGTTTGATGAAAAAAGCCTTCACTGCTTCCTGTGCTTTGATGATCCGGCAGTCTCACCAATGCCTTGCATAATTCCACACTGTTCTTTGATGCGCCTTAGATTGTTGTATCTCTCCTTTGTTTCTGCATCATCTGAGAAGTGGGAGGCAATGGTTCCAACAACTTCTGATCCATCAAGGCCAGAGTCTGTTAGATGTTGAGTTGAGTTCTCTGGATTGCTCTGCTGGGCTTCCAGTATCAGTTCCGTCATGTTCAGATGAGATGGAATGTAAGTGAGCTCTCCTTGCTTGATTTCAATAGGCAGCTGTGGGATCAGGGATGGACTATTGTGTTGGACAATTACATCTATCTTGCGATTGCCCGTGTAAGTTCCAAAGTGCCTGAACATCCTGAATGCTTCCTTCTTATTTTAAGCAATAACCTTTAAGTAGTCTTGGATCACCACCTGATTTGCTGAAGACACTGCCAATGCTGATCTGATATCCATCTGAAGGAGTCCCATCTGCTTCTGAAGATTGACTGTGACAGCCCCCTATCTGCTCCTTGATTCTAGTGATTTCTTTGAATTGTAGGTGGCTGTCAGATGCATAGGCTTCCATTGTGTTGCTCACAGAGTTACTCAAAAGAGAAATAATCTCTAGAGTCTTGTCCACGGATTTGCTTATCTCCTTGAGATCTGAGCAACGTTTTTCTTTGGATTTCTCCATCAGCTTGTTATGCCTAGCTTCCATTTGCTCTATCTCTTGCCTAAAGGAGGCATGCTGAGATGCTAGGGCTGATTCAATCAACCCTTGGACCTTTCTTGTCCAGTTTTCCGGTACCTCATCCGGAAGGGTGGATGTGGAAGAGCTATGGAAGTGAAAGTTAGTTACCAGATTTGAAGAAGGTGCTCTGTGGAAGAGTTGCATAGGGAGAGATTCAGCATCTTCTTGCTCAGCTTCTCCATCATCAATCTTCAATGTCCTTTCAGACTTTTCTTCTGCTTCATCAAGTATAAAATTTGATATATCCCTAGAGAGGGAGTCTCTTTCTTCACCTTCATTCTGCTCTTCAAAAACAACTACTGGAGTTTCAGGGGCCTCCAGTGTTGCCATTTGAACTTCCTTTTCAGCTTCTGTAGAATTCCTTTGGATTTCTACAGCTTGTTCCTCTTGGACTTCATTTGTTTATGGAGGAGTGGACTGCTCCAGAATTTCTCCTGACTTTTCCGGGATCTCAAGTTCAGGCTGGTTGGAGATCTCACAAGGAGTTGTGTGAATCTCAAGGACTTGAGATTTGAGAGGTTGCTGAATTTCTTCTTCTGATGCTTCTTGGTTCTGTTCTTGTGGAGTAGAGGCTGCATTCTCTTGGTCAGCTTCAG